TCAACAATTCAATTTCAAGCAAGGTAACATTTAAAAATGAAAACATGCCTCAATTACAATTTTCCCCACGTAAATATGAATTTTAAACATTAAAATAATGGTTTTAGAGATCATCCTAGAAGCCTATCGCATGTATAAATGTGAAATAATTAGTCACCAAAGAAGAAAAATGTAAACAAATTGGTATGTTGCCTTCTAAACAAGAAACTAAATCACTTAACTGCAAAATATTATTCAGCAATATGGCCAATAACTTACTAATTGGAAACTATAACAAAACATCAAAAATGAAAAAGCTTTATAGAAATAAAAATTATAAAAAAAAAATATCTGGGACATTATGGACGTATTAGGTATAAAATTACCTGTCTTTGGGTTCGCAATCTGTGTATCTATAATGGAACGAAATAGCAGACTTGCTGTAAGCACACATCTATGAAATCTCTTTCTCTGAAAATTAAGGTCAATTTTTTGATAAACATACAATGGTAAATGAGGCGTTAACGCTATTCGATATACATTTCGAATCAACATAATGCAAAATATATTTATTTTTTATGAAATAGGACGTTTATGTTGTTAAATTAGTTTCACAAACGGGAACCTGTGGTTTCGCCAAGGACGATATATTATGTCATGATGTTAAACCTCCTAAAGTAAAACAACTCAAGTGAAATTTTAAAATGTGTCGACTTGAAATCTTACAAAACTATATAGTGTTTTCGAATATTGTCGTTTGTACCTTATATACTTTATGCAAATTAGTTATGAGCATAATTATTCTTTCAGGAATGCCATATCACATGCAGGCTATTATCTGTTTTGATAAGAAAATGTTTTATTGAAGAAAAAGTATATAAACTCATCACCGTATATAAAAGAGACTTATCTGTATGTTTAACATAGTTTGATATTTAATACATTGACAAATAAAGAATATTTTAGTGTTTCTTCATAATTTTCTTGAAAACAAAAATAATATACTTAAGAAGATAGGTACTTCCCCAATCACCCTTTATAAACTGTAAACGCCCAAAAAAATTGGCTTTTTCCCCGCCCCCCTAAATGAACAAGACCTAAAATTTTAAACTCAGGGTCGTGTTTGAAATTTTTTAAACCCTCCATTCCTCTGCCCCAACCAAATTTTACAAATTTTTTATGAAAAAAAAAATAAAACCCACACAATTTTAAAGCACCCAAAATTTTACAAAACGAAAAATTTCCCCCGTTATTTTACCAGATCGTATTTTTTTTTTAAAAACGTGTTTTCAGGGAAACGTGGGGGATTGTGTCATTATTTTACATTACAAAATACATTAAAATATTTTGATTCAAGCATTATCATTCATTACACATATGGACATGATTAAACAGTATTTGTTTCAGAGTAAAACTAGCATGAAGTTATATCACAAGATTTTAATATTCTAATATAGTCTATCAATTACTGTAAAAACGTTTACACACATTTAAATGATGTCAAGTTCATTATCTAAGTGTATAAATCGATAGTTCTCTTCACTCATTATCATCAATAGTTATAGAGTAATTTATAAATATTGTCATAATAATAAATGACGTCAAATTTCCATGCCGTGTATGAAATTGTTTGACGCCTTGCAATGAGGGACTTTAGTGAATAACCTCCCCTGAGTACTCCATATAAATAGGTAGGTCCTAAGCTATTGGATTACTCGGACTTTATCGCCAAATTTCTTTGAAGAAAACTAAATTAATTAGGGCAATTTATGTTTCATTTGTAAAAATTCAGTTTAAAATTTTTGCGAAAAAGTGGGGGAATCTGTTGACAAAAATAAAACTTTTTTTTATTTAAAGGGTTTTTAAATTTTTGGGTTTAAAGCATGGGGAAAAAATTTGGGATTAAGACTTTATCAACCTGCCCTTAAAAAAAAACCCAACGAAAAAAATAAAAATGATTCCAAATTTTTGGGAAACCTTTTTACTTTTTGGTTTAACCTTTTTTTCTATCAAGGGGAGAAAAAATCCACTAAAGCCCCCTCAATGTTTATTGTTTTCCCTTTTTTTGGGGAAAAACCCTTAACAATAATATTTTTTACTTTTTTTTCCAAAAGAATACACCCCTTTGGGGGTTTACCCCAATTTTCGTTTAAAAAATTTTTTTCTTTAGGGGTTTTGGATATATTATAATTTTCTTTCGATTTCTTTTGATTTTATTAGAAATTATTTCCTCATAGATCAAATCTATCTTAGCATATAACATGTGATTAAAAGGACAGAAAAAGATCAATGCATGATTTGTAATTATATTAAAGATATAACCAATAAAATCTTACCTTTTTATATTTCTAACGAACGAATATTGGCTGATTTTAACTAAATTACGTTGCATCCAAAATAGCTTCACAATTTCTCGAAATTCCACGAAATAAAGTTTTATGTTTATGATATGTCCTAGCTACGTCAAATCTAGATAATAACCGGCGGTGATCTCATACATTGTAAATTTTTAAATATCTAAACAAAATTTATTCTAAAAATAGATCCAACACATACATAAATCACATGTCACTGAAGGCATAAATTATTTGGTTATCTTTTTTCTACGTATTGAACATGTTTCAGTCAATAAAAATGAAATAACAACTCGCTGGAATATGGAGATACAAGAATAGTTATTTCTAGCTTAAATAGTGTAAATTGTTTGAACGACTCGATTTCATGTGAATAAGGTAAAATCTTTTAATTTCAGTAATCAAATATACAAATATACAACAAATGTTATATAACAGTTTAAACTTTACACTTTAATGATAAAACGAACGATATCAATGTGACATCTAGTCTTAACATAGCTCCAACACATACATGAAACATAAGTCATTTAAAATTTACACTATGCGTTATCTTTGTGATTAAGCTTTGTATCTCGCACACGGTGGCCTAGATTTTTACAAGTTCGGAAGGTAAAATATTGTAGTTTTCTTTTTGAATAATTAATTACTAGTTATCAAAAATTTGATGTGTGTATTTTTTAAAGTTCGATTACTATTATAAAAACATTAATCTTAAAATTAAAAGAAATTTTCCCAACGAAAAAGAGACCAAAATTTTTAAAAATGTGTAGAAAAGGTTTAATTTAGGGCAATTAAAAAATGGGTTTTGGGAAAAAATTTTTACAACTTTTTTAATAATCAAATTTTTTTTTTAAAAGTCTTAAAATGCATAAATATTTCAAAAACCCAAAACAAACCGCCAACACAAAAACAAAAAATTAATAAATATTGTAATATCTTATAAATTTTAGCCATGTTTGGACAACCTTTTAAATTTTAGGGAAAAATATAGCGGTTTAAGATAGCTCCAAAAATTTAAAATACTGTTGAACAATTGGTGATCCAAAACCCCTTGTGTGACTTTTCAGTTAAAGTTGGATTTTTGGGGAAAAAAAGTTATTCGTTAAAATCAAAATTATTTAAACATTTTAAATTTAATCAGTTTTTGAGGGAATTGTAAGTCTTGAGGTTTTCAGGTTTTACCTTTACTTAAATTTTAAAATTTTTGTTTTAAACCTATGCCCCTTTTAAAATAAGTGAAAAAAAACCCATTAAGTGAAATATTCTTAAAACATGAAAAACAAGTTGTAAAGCCATCACGAATACTGGTCATTGGCTTCTGGCACTCCACTAGACGTATGCTTATTAATTAAATTAATTTTAATACTTAGATGTAGGAGGGAAATCAGCCTCCATTATGTAATTTGTGTTTGTTGTTCAAAACAAATCCCAGTTACCTTATTACAAAGAACGATTTACAGTGAAGCCTGATGTTAAATTAAACATACTCCAATGTAGGCTAGTACACATGAGAACATTTAATTGTTCTAGGCAAAAGTTTAGATGTTTCTTAATTCACATTAATACCTATGTTACTATATATAGTAACAAAATTAAGGGTATTTCAGGGTCATTATGGCAAGATCTAGGTCATTTTGCAATTTCGGCCGCCTTGATACTCGGCATTATTTTTCCATAATGGGCGAGTGAATGAGCGCACGTGAAAAAGAAAGGTTTAAACAACTATCAGTGATTTTAAGGGTGGGCTTTCTGTCGTTTTAAAAGTTGAATGAACTGTAGTCACTTGAAAACAAAATGTTAAGTTTAAAAGACGTAATCCCGTCTCTATCAACACAAACTTAGGGCATTTAAGGGTTTTTTAAAAAATCAGGGAAAAAAATACAATAACTCTACTCAAAATAAAAAATGAAACCCCCCCGAATTTCCAAAAACGATTTTTATTTTTAGGGGGAAAAAAAAGGGTGGGGATGATGGCAAAAAAGAGCTAGAATCGTTCGGAAAAACCCTTCCTTGAAGGCCAAAAAATTCATAAAAAAAATGGGGACAAAAGTTATTTTACAAAACTATATTAAAAGTAAATTTTTTGATAAACAACAATAAAACAATATTTGTCTCATATTTCTGTTTTTTTGTCATGTTTTCAAAGTAGTAAATGAAGGTTAAACTGAATGAAGATAATTGTTTTACATTGGACCACTGTTCGTTTTCTTAGAAAGTGGCGACAACTAAAGAGATCAGGCGGCGAATGTCTAAATGCCGTATTTTCTTTGGACATAGGTATTAAAGACGTTAATACTTGGTTGTTGCTCGGCCAATTTTTGCGGATGAGGCCCTTTGAGTCCATAATTTTTCCGGTCGGGCCTGCGGCCCTCAGACCAATTTTCGCACATCTTCGGGGTCCACTATCTCATAATGGGCGAAAAAACCCAAGTATTTTAAACCTCTAAATATCAAAACCGGTTTCATGTTGGGAATTCTTACTTTAACAATGTGCTAGGCAGACTTGACGGTAACTTGCCCTGTTAAGTACCGCCCATAAACAGGCTTAACCAAACGGAACCTTAGCGTTTTTGATTTCGCTGTTTTGGCCGTTCCTAAGGAATTCCGTTATTTTTTTCTTTGTTTGGCTTTATTATAGCCCATAATGTCTTTAATATATTCTTCAGGCAAAACGATTTCATCGATGCGTGCTTGTCTCATGTCCTTTTTTTGATAGAGCGATGAGTGCAAATTTTACAGAAAAGCGAACAGGTAAACAACTCTTATTCGTATTGTGTATAACAGTCATTTCGTCTTGATTTTAGAAACCAATGTATTCTTTAATATCGCAGATCTATTTAAAATTGAAACATAAGATAAAATAAGGTTACCTGAATAATAGAAATGAGTTTTACATACTTAAATTTTAAGTAAATCAAACGAAATTAAGTATACAAAGTGCACAAAGTGCATTTTCTGAGTTTAGTGTAATACAATTGTTTTATTGTTGTTATCATGAAAGGGGTATAAGACATGTTGCTCATCACACATGTCGAGTGCATTTTGTACATTTATTGTAGAACTGGTCGATGTAAGTGTTGGTACCCCAGATTCAGTTGAGATGGCAATCATGTACCTATATGGCGTTGTGCAGATATAAACATAGACAATGTAGAGATACTTCTTCAACAAGCCGAATACTTCATGATTGAAGGTCTTAAAACTACTTGCATCAATTGGCTTCGTGATTTTGAAATTACGGAAAAAACTTACATATACGTACTGAAACTCGCTTCGGTGTATAATTTCGAAGTTCCAAATGGTATGGCTTACATAGAAAGCCATCTGCACGAAGTTTTCAAAACCGAAGAGGCACTGTACTTTTCAAGGGAATTAATCCAAAAGCTATTTACTGACGAACGACTCTCTTATGTATCAATGGACGAACGTTTATCGTTTCTAATGCACTGGGTAAGAAATAACTCGGATGAGACAAAGGCAAATGTTAAGGAACTATTTGACACAATTGATTTACAAGATATTACCGACTCTCTTTTGCGTGAAGCTTCTTGTATTGACATATTGAATGAGATTATTTTTTCAAGCGATGTGGGAAGCACGTTACATGGAGGCGAATGTAAATGTGATGTTTTGATCATGACCGGTGAGAAAGGTTCCCTCTTATGCTTTAATCCTCAAAACGACACGTGGTATAGACTGATTCCTGAAAACAGCAACGACATTCTTTATAGAAATATTTCTGGCATAAGGAACACAAAACCTGAGTTATATTTTACTAAAGGAGAAGGTCACTTGATGCCTATGTTTACGACCTTGAATATAGAAAATAACGAAATAAACTCATACAGATTTTACCTGAAAGATGAGGACATATCTAAGGAGACAATAACAAATGTATGCCTAGCAGATAACACGTTGCTCGTTCTCACAAGAAAACATGTTCAAATTATAGAAACACTTGCTGGTAATCAAACGGAATATAGAAATATTGATGCTGATTGCCCTGGGATTTCATCAAGTAACACAGGTTTAGAATCATCACAAAAAAGAATCAGAGTACGGATCATTTGTGATGATGAAAGATTATTCCCAGGATATTTTAGAAGCGGGGACCAGAGTATAACTGTGAAGGACTCGGTTAATACCGCTTTTCATGTTGCCAATGTTACAAGTCAAGATGTAGAAATTTTACCGATATTTTATTTGCGTAACATTGACATTTCACGGGCATGTATTAATGGCACACTTTCTACAGTCGCTTTACTTCCAAAAGACCAAAGGTCTGTGATACTGTTTGATCTTATAAGTTACAAAATGGAAACATTTTGTTTAGAGCAAGCAACTGATTATAAAATATCTACGACAAACAAAGGATTTGTTATATATAACAACAAGCGTTGTTATTGTTTGACGAATATATATTGGCCACTTTCATCTAAAAGGTACCTGATTGAGCTCTTTGAGCTTGAATCCGATGACCAAAGGACAGAATATCTTTTTTGCAACGGTTTTTGGATCAAACTTTACAAAACATTATGTTATATTGATCCGAATTTAGAAATGAGCTTTATTCGTCATGAAGAACTTCTGACTAGTGGATGCCCCAGAAAATTAAAATGGACAAAAATATCTATACCGGACAGCAAGATGATGCATAAACTTTTAGTAGACAATGAAATATTTGCAGTGCAATTATCAAAGAACAAGCTTCGCTGTCATATCCACTGTCCACATTGTAAATATTCTGAGCGATAAAGCTTATGTACGGCTTTGGAATATGTTAGATATATTGACCCGGGCGACCAGACTTGAACTTGATTTCAACAGCAGCTATGCAGAATGCTCTTGTCGGCAAACTTTAAGTATAAAATTCTATGAAAGCTCCGTCTATTGAACACTTTTACCACATGGCTAAACTAAAACAAACACATATCTGAACATGTATTATATTACTTCTTGGTGGATAAGCTTCTGTTGAAAATTTACGGACCACTCAAAATAGATGTCAGGACTCATATTGATATTTTTAACAATCATTTTAACGATTAAACATTATCCTGTTTTCAGGAAGATTAAGTTTGTTTTTTCCCCTTTCAAAATTCCATTTTATTTAGTTCCGCCCATTGTTTTCTCGTTTAGGGCACACGCTTTTTATTACTTGGGGACCATACGCCGCTTTTCATGGAATGGCACGGTAGTGTCACATTGAAGGTTCCATGATAACCGCCGTATGAACACATCTGCGGATGTTTCTAAATTCAAAATTTTACTATTTCATGTTTAAATGTTTAATTCTGCTTAAGCCGGTGCTAGGGGGCGGTGGACGGTAACTTGCACTTTCCAGTACCGTCCATGAACAGGCTCAATCAAACCGAGCCTGCAACATTTTCAATTTTGCCGTGTTGGGCTTTCTTTAGGGATTCTGTATTTATCTATTTGTTGGTTTTAAAGTCTATTAAGGTGACTATCTAGCTTACCTGTTTAGTAGACTTCAGGTGTTCTCACGATCGTCTGACGGTACCAGTATTCGAATGTACACCTATATAGGACAAATGATTTGAAGCCGGTGACTTTAACCACTCAGTCATGGAGGCACCTAGTATTGTATATTTAAAGATGTTTGTTCGTAATTAATTTAGAGAATCCCCCTTTGCTTTTTATAAATTAGAGAAGGCAAATAAAATACTTAATAAAGTGTTAGGTTGTCAAATTGACAATATAAAAACGTAACGATCTTTAATCAGCTCAACATTGGAAGCAAAAATCAATTTTACTGACCATTTTGATAATTATTCTATGTTTGTATAGATTACACAAAACAGATGGCAAGAACATCTTTTACAAAAAATTACACCCTGGTCTATATCTTGATATAAATCTGAAAAAGTTGATCACTCGGAAGAATTTATCACAACAAAATTACATGAGAATTACAGACTCGGTTTCAGTGAGTCTGTACATGAAGGCTAGGGGGAAAATGCAACATGTCTCACGCCCCTAGCAGCAGCTTGAGCGGTACACAATTTTTAACACTTAAAAGGGGTGGAATCAATTATCCTGAAAGAACCAGAAAATTATAACAGCACTGAAATGAAGTATAAATGAAGCTTGTTTATTGTCTGGTTAACTTAGGTATCCATTCATAACAGTGATGTTAGTCGACAGAAGGTCTTTTTTTAACTACTAGTTGTTCTCGTAAATTTTAGCACATAAGTTGACCAGAATGTTTTTTTCGCCCGAATTATCAAATTAATGTTTAATTTTGTCACAGCCCCACGCTACGGACCGTATTTCAACATTAGTTAATGTGTAAGCTGGAATGGCTCTAATCCTATTTCAACTTAAGTTTAAGTTGATATTTTCATATATATTGGTCACTATATATTTGATGAAATTAACCAATTTGACTATTCTTTTTATACAAATTACGTCAAATATGAAAATCAAAGCAATCCTTGTCATGTGTCTCAGTTCATGTGAAACATAAGGTGAATACTGGAAATAACGCGGATGAAAGAAAATTTGTAGTGAAATTAAAGATGGCATTTCAAAATAGCGGAAAAGAAGACTTTTTCGGAAGCACTGCTTGAACGGTAACAAGCGAAATTTTGATAACTTTTAAGTTGTTGGTTTGTTTGAAGAGATATTTTGAATCACGACACTAAATTTTCCGTTATCTTCTTGAGAGTGGCTTTAAGTGTTTATATAAGGTGTTCCTATAATACAGCATTGAACTTTTTCATGGTCAATACGGCTATGTGAAGTCATCATTATTTCTAGAAGACTTAATCTGTCCAGTTGGTAAACAATCTGAATGTTGTCTTGTGAAATCTAATCTCTATCTTTATTTAAATGTAGTAAGAAGCGACCCAAAAATTCCACCGAGTGGTTTATATTGGATTGCAGCCTACCCATGATCCATTCACAGCTATACGTCGTTTATTCCTTATTTGTGTTGAAGAGGTAGGGTTGAGGTAGTATTGGGTTCATCTCTGAATTATTTCTGAAAAACAGGTGTTTTTTGTGCCGTAATTTTGTCTTTCGTAAATGTAGAATCTAGCTATTTGATATGATAATATTGAACTACAACTTCCATTCTATATCATTTTGTATTGTTTATTCAATCCAATGTTTTATTAACCACGAGTTTGCTATTTATATAACACAACGCACAAAGTACAATTTCTGTTTTATTATAGGTTCTATATTTATAAATACAACAACAAACAGGTATTAACATACACATAAAAACTATAACTTACAAATGCGGCAAGGTCGCCGTTAGCTTAAACTTTAATCATATTATCTGACTGCCTGCATCGTTTTGTTTATATTATGATTAAAACAAGAACCACTATAAAAAACTTTCAATAGTTTACTAATGCAGTCTTTATCAAAAAATATATCAATTTATCTAATGAAAATGCATTTTATGAATTGTAAAATTATCGATTCAACTAATGAAAATGATTCAATTTAGACTCATGCCACGCCGGCTACTAAAACCCTGTGATATGTTTTCCTTCTTTAAGTCAAACGTATTATCATATTAATAAACTAGTGCAATGAGGACATGCGATGTATAAGACATTTCTTATTGCAGTTTTCTAAAATAAAAAATAAATACAAAAATGTATGTAATTACACATAGACTAATGCTTGATACGATGATAAATAATACATCATTATGTAAATAGGCGCCTGTTAAAAAAATCAAGCTATTACTCATAATGTAACTAAAATTATGTCTTAAGTCGAAAAAGCCGAACGAGTTTGAAGACAAAAAAGTGAACTAGAAGTTAGAAAAAACATTCCAACGAAAGTAATACCTCATTTAGATTGTTTTAGATCAATTTGACAACATGTCTCAGTTTTATGTTGTGTTTTATAAATACATACTGCACAGATACATCTTTTGTAAAATCATAATTTTGAACCAAAAATACAGTACGATTTTAAACATTTTAACATAAATTTCAGTATGTCACAGCATACCGCAAAGGTGTCCGGGACGAGTGGTTATTGTCGTTGACTTTAAACAAAATAATTTACTGAGATTTTCTTCCACCAATTAAGCTTGAAAATCACATATACTGTGCTGGTTCGACGTAACCGCCCCACCCCCTCCCTTCTAGAAAAATGCTTTATTCAGAAATAATACAAGCTGGTCACATGCCTAACAATGGGATTGGGATTTAATAGTTTTCTTCATGTAAATCATTAGTTTCATTTCTAATCAATACTTCATTAGGAAAATACAGGGACATCATCTATTTTGATAAAAGAATGTTATCGTAAGACAGTAAAAATGCCACAGTGGAATCACATCTTTCCCTTAACATGAAATGTTCGTCTAAGACAAAATCGTTTTTTTTTTTTTTAAACTTTTATTAATTTAGTAGCTGTAAATGTTATGTTTTAAAGAATACTATAAGGATCTTACCCCGGCTGTCGATACCGACCGGAATATCCCAGTGGAATCACATCGTTCTCTTTACATGAAATGTTTGTCTAAGACAAAAATCTTTTTTTGTTGTTGAAAACTTTTATTAATACAGTAGCTGTAAATGTTATGTTTTAAAGAATACTATAAGGATCTTACCTCGGCTGTCGATACCGACCGGAATATCTAGCTCAACGGGCAATTGTTTACGGCGGTAAAAAGGATTTGCCAAGTTTCCCCGAGAGCTAGATATTCCTGTCTCTGACAACAACCGGTGATTGATTTTTTCTTTTGCACATATTATATTAAAGATATTTTGAAATGAAATATCGAAAAAGCATAATTTTTATTTTGCAATTTTATTTAATAGTATTGTTTGAATTTACAACTTGATTCATAACGGCAAAATGACGTAATCTTAATAAAGTAATTCAATCATAAAAAGGCGCGTGGAAATTACGTTATTTAAAGTACGAGACTTGTCTTTTAAAGGGGGTGTAAAACAGGGTTTCCTAGCACCTGTGTAAACAATTGGTAATCTTATTACATATGCAAGAAATTAATAGATTATATCAAGCTTAAACTGAAAACAAAAGGGACTGTCAGAGGGTTATCTCATGTTTGCAAGTAAACGTCTAATACGTATCTGCTGTGAGCATGTGTGGTGGTTAAATTACGAGCGGAAAAATGAGGTATGTCATCAAATTGTATTGATTAATTAGTGTAAGAGAAATTAAAATAATAATAATAAGGTAATGGCAGTGAATATACGCTGACCGACGGAGGAACAATATATAGTATACTGTAAGCATGCACTTTATCACATAATAATAATAATAATAATAATAATAATAATAATAATAATAATAATAATAATAATTATAATGATGATGAAAGAGTAAACATAAGATTGTACTGTTGTACAATTAAATTATTGAATCAAGAAGATTATATCAAAGCCTTATTTAATAAGTGTCTTATCGTGTCTGTGGTAAGACAGGAAACTAAAGAAGCGGGCATTTCATCCATTCCGAAACCACAGGAAGAACAGCATGCTTAACATTATAAATAACATGTTATCATATAGATAGCGTTAGATAAACCCATTTAAAACAGCTAGATATTACACTAGTGTAAAAACTATCTACATAAGGCAACTTGACACAGTAGTTACGTATTTATACACAATGTCAATACAATAAATAAGCATAGAATACCGTGCCTTTGTCGTCGGGGAGATACTATCGAAATCACTAGAACCCATATTGTATCAATAATTTACCCCAGTTATGATTGAAAAAGTATGATTAACGTTAGAAATAACACGTTGTTACATTCGTACAACAGAAACCTAGACTATACAAAATAATGAAAATGTATACAAAACTACTCGACACACAATTAGAAAAACACTGTCATTTACCTGACATAAATCAAAACCTAGGCATACAAGCATAGATGTTAATGCCACTGGCATTGGTATTTACCGAACATCTCTGTCAATAAAAGCAATGATGGTGCTAGATTTCTTTTCATTTTTGATGGTGCTAACAATTTATCACCAACATTTCCACAACCCCAACCCACCCCCCCCCCACGACCTCCCCAAAAAAGACGTTGAAACATTCTTTATTTGAAGTATGCTGATATGTATTTTTTCATCGCTTTACTTGTGATGTCATTTAAATAAATGAATAAACTTCATGTAAGTTGAAAAAAAAGTTCTTTTTTTAAATTTTATAAAATGTGCATGACTCTTTGACCTCATCTGACATTTAAAAGGGACACACGTCTACTATTTCCAGTAATGTCAAATCTTAAGAGCTAATACGGTTTATATGATATGACTAAATTCATAATACTTTATCCACATGAAGAAAAGAGGTGTTTTTTTACACCTTAGTCTAGTTAAAACAAGCGACTCACAGGGCAGGACCAATTTTGACCTGATGGTCATGACCGATATAACTTTGCAGTTGTAGACATCTACAGATTGATGCTACATGCCAAATACCTAAATTCTTGACGAGGCAAATATTGACCTAAGACATGATTAATACCAGTTATGTTGTGGTTCACAATGTGATGTTAAATGCCAATTACCGAATCATTTGTCATCGTAGTTTCACATAATAAGTATCAGTTATAATTTTTATATATAAGTCCCTGGGTAGGAGGCAATATTGAACCAAGGGACATGATTCATATCAGTTTTGTAAAGGTCAACCAGGCAATGCTACATGCAAATATCTAAGGATCTATACATTGTAGTTTCACACAGTGGAACTGAAATGTGTCTTCATATATAAGTCTATATAATAAAGTAATCCACTGAGTGTAGCAAGTTTGTTTCGCGGGAACCCTGAACCTGTGTTCTGTACACCGTCTCATTATGAGTAATATTTCTCCCAAAATGTTTTAAGTTATTTCTATCGGTTCAACAGATATAGTGCGGACACAGAATTTGGAATGGATACAGAAAAATTGGTCAAACTTGCGCTCTGCACATTACTCATCATGATAAATATTGCTGTAGTTTCCATTTCCGTCCACCTATTCTGAAGATACAGACCGGACACGAAAACTATTAACAGATGGGCGAACAGATTACCTGGCGCATAACATTATTTGAGCATACAAAAACACACGCGTTAATATTTCGTCACCCATCAGTAAAAAAAATGAAACTAATGAAATGCAAAAATGTGAATGCTAGTTATTGATTAGCTGAGTGAAAATTCGAAATGATCCTGAAGCCAAGCATTGCTTAAGAGAGCAAATCTTAATCATAATGAAGTTTAAACATTGAAACCCTTTACTCTTTGGTGACGGTGTGTATGAAGGAATATATTATTGATACATAAATTGCCGTATACCATATAAATCTAATAGTGTCTGTATTCTACCGTACAGTACACAGGGTTTAATCAAAACATACATGGCATGAAAGTTTAATTTTAGTTTGATGTCCTTAATATGAATACAAACACTTTGATTTCAGATATTGTCCCCATTTTAGTCCTCCTCTATTGACTGTCCGTTAGTCGACACCGTCCGTAAAATTAAAATAGGACAGTTATTGGTCAGTGAAAGGAGACCTTTTCCCAACCATTTAAGCTTTAGTATACACGAATAGATAGTGTTAATCAACCAATTGTCAAAACTCGACTGAACTGATTTACACATGTATTGTATCAATTAAAGCTTACACAATCATATCACATATGAGTTCGTGCAAAACGTGGTTAAACGCGAGAGATTGGCCTAGTTGCATTCATTTTTGTATCGTCAGATGATTAATAAACATGTTATATGATTTCAACAAACTAAGTTATGGATAATATTAAGACACGTTTATTTATTTGCAATGTGGGCATGCAATATCACATCGTAGCTTTCTTTTTGATAAAGGAACTACAAAAGCATTTTCTAGATCACTGCGATTCTCAAAAAGTGTGTTGTCTTCAGGAATAGGCATATTTTTCCAATTTACATCCTGTGAAGAATGACTCATAGCCAGTTCTTCATGCGATACACATTGGAGTTCAAGATCATCGTTCAAGCTTCTGCGTAATATTCTTATCCACAGTCCACATTGATAGCGATACTTGATAAACCAACCTACTCCATTTTCCAGTCTTAATGTTTCAATCTTATAAGTCTTAGAGAAGAATGGTATTGATAGTTTTGTCAGACAGAAACAGTTAGTATCATTGTAGATAATAAAGCCATTGTCAGACGGACAAATTTCGTACTCTTTTTTCTGCAACGTTAATAAGCGGTCCATCTTATAATTCAATACGTCATACAGTATCACATGAACGAAATTGTCTGATTTTGTTAGCATAGCCAAAACAGAACGATTATTCATACACATTTGAGTTACAATTTCATTCCGAAAAGAAAACACTGGTTGCGTTTCTACATCTTCTTCCGAAGTGTTTCCAATGAATAAGCTTGTGACATTTCTTGTGTAACTGGATGATGATGATCCTGCACTTGGTTCTACAATATCTTTTGTTCCTGGTAAATGTACGACGCATAAGGCATAGTCCCCATTCTCGTTTGAACTGATTTCGCGACAGACTTGTGTCTGCAAGACGGCATTTATAATATCTTGACATTCCCTTTCGTCACCGGAAGAAAAGTTATCCCGTACATCTTGGTGAATATCACAATGAACAAAGATTTGTACAGTTATTTGTACTACTGCAACTACAATATCGTTGCTTAAGTTAACATGAGCGATCTCTACATCGACAATATCTTCATCTTTATCTGTAAAATAGTCAAGTTCTAGTTGAAGCCTATATGTACGTATCTCATCAGATTCTAAGTCAACAGTTGTCATAATATCTTTACTAGAATAAACTTCCTCCATACACACTTCAGGGTTATCATTTCTTACACCGATAATTTCCTCACGATATCGGTATCTGTCGAAATATCTAGAATGTAATCTATACCAACGGCTTTCCTGAAGATCTAAGCAGGCAAAATAAGATTCCCCAGATGCCATTATCAGCACACGTTTTCTGAAATAATCTTGCTTCGATTGACAAACTCTGTTTTCTAAATCGATCAGACTATTAAAAGTAGCATTATTCTTTGCCTTTTCCAAAACATTAATGGATACTTCCTTTAGATCAATTGTGTCTATTACTTGACTGACACTTATTTTCATCGACTCTTTAGGATGCTTATTCGCCCATTTTATAAGAAATCCCAACTTTACGTCCATGTCTACGTACGAAAATCTTTTATCCCTGAAAAAGTACTCCACTGTTTCAAAGGAAAGGTCAACTGCCTCATCAAGGAGAAACGTCTCTGGTATATGACTTTCTATGTATTTTTTGCAAGTCTTTATATCAAAATCAAACTTTGTAGACAATTTGATGACATGCATACAATTTACTTTAGAATAATCTATTTGTTCCAGCCAATCTATGCAGGCATGTTTTAGGCTTGGTATTATTAGGTATTCTGCTAATTCCAGAAGGTCCCCTATATTACTGATAGTAAACGCAGGGACTTTTCCGTACAAGAACATAATTGCCATCTCCACAACATCAGGGGACGTGTCAATCATTATCTCAAGTTTGGTATCCTGTATTCTGCCATGTTTCTCAAGAACATTGCCTAGAAATTAAAAATACATCTTATTAAAATTATCATACTTTTGATAGACAAAAAAGAATGTTTCAAATAAGGTTTTTTTTGCCTAGATTCAAGTCACTGTAAATATTATTCTAATGTATAGTGTTACCTGTCTTGGCGTTGCCAATTTGTATGTCTACTATGGTCTGAAACAGTAGACTTGCTGTAAGCACACATCTATGAAATCTCTTCTTCTGAAATTTTAAATCAGTTAAAGAATTTAGCATTAACACTAAACACTTCTATACCATTTTAAATATTTGGTATTTTCTGACAATATCATTTCACAAAAACAAAAAATTTAGAATGCAGACTTAAAGATTATGAGTGAGTGTGTGTTTCACTGGGCCATCTCCATTGTCGTCTATGTAGGTTCACAAATCACATTTGCCTTCCATCTTTCCATTTGTTTTGCAAATTAGTAATAATATAAAATTGTAAATAGCATATGTATTTATCTTGATAAAAAGTGTGAAATAAACAACAATTTTCAGACATGTTTATCGTGGTTATATATTTAATTCATATTATAAAAAGAATATTTTTTAAATTATGATATTAAAGTACATTCAATTTATAAAAAGAACAACATTTTATAAACTAACCCAATCTCCACTAATGACTGTGACGTCACAAAATTCGGATTGTTCATCAACCTGGAGAACGAGGAACTCGAAATTTGACTCCGGATCATGTGTCTTTTCAACCTCCATTTTCTTGATAATATATAAATAAAAGTCTAGTAATTATCAGTAATTTCGTTTTTCAGTCCACTTTATTACATTTCACACATGCGCATGCGTAATAGTTCGCCTATGAACACGCATATGCATGCGTAAATGACAAACAATTTAAATAATCGAACATGATGAATAGAAGACATGTATAGAAAGCTTAAAATTATAGTACATAATTATAACCTATATTGTTATTTGAGCAAAGCAAATTATCTAATGACATTAAATTATCTTCTGTAAGTTTTCTGTAAAGAATACCATTATGGTTTACTTACATAGTCAAGTAATATTTATTTATAAATTCTTTTTTAATTCCGTACTTCACGTGAAGATTAGGACCTAAATGTATATTTTAGGTCACATGAAACTACGTAATGTCCAAATATAACTTCAATTTCCACGAAAGGAAGTATGCCCTTTTATCAATCTAAATCACTGATCAACCAATCAATCGTTTGCGAACCTAAATTACAATATTAAAACTTCAATATTAAAATTAAAACTTACGACCCAACAATAATTGATTGATTGAAAACAACTTCTCGGTGGTTATTAAAAATTGCACATATCTTATCTGTAGAGTATATATATTTAAATAATGTCTTCTAAAAATAGACCCAACACATACATGAAACAAGTGTACGTAATGACTATTGATTAGTGATTGTGCCAGAGTTAAAAAGGTGAATAGATATGGGGAGGTTAACATAATACATTAATTGAAATTTTAGTTCTTTGAACGTACGGATTTTCATCAGGTAAATGTTCTTTATGATTTATTTAATAAAAAACTAAAGTATAACATAGTCCTGTAAAATTGCTTTGATATAATTTCATTTTTAGTCATAAAAATTCCTAACTAATACGAATTGTTAACAATTCTATATCCTTATAAATAATGTTACACGTAATTATGTCTCCGTTGTGCATATTGTGGGCACGTTCCGCTTTGCTGCACACATTTGCCGCCAAAGTAGTTATAAATAGGAAAGTCATGGTCATACTGCAAGTGGAATTTCAACGAAACTTCACATAAGTGAAAGGTACCTACCTTAGACTTGCAAAACGCCAGCACGTTCAGCATTGCTGCAAAAGTCGGCCACCAGAGCTTCAAATAGAAAAAATATTGTCTTTCACCGGACAAACTTCTGGCAGGATTTCGATGTAACTTGATGGGAGTGATCATTACAAACCTTTGCTGTGCATACCTTTGCCACGTTTAGCTTTTCTGCAAAAAAATTGCAACTAGAGATTTAAATAGAAAAATCTTGTCCGGCTGTCAAATGTCAAACTGCTTGTGAACTTTCGAAAAATATTTCACAAGATTGATCACTACCTGTCTTTAGCGTGCATATCGCCGGCACGTTCCGGTTCACTGCACTAAATGGTCGCCAGAGTTTAAAATAGCAAAAATAATGTCCGGCTTTTACCGGCCAAACTGTTGGCGGGATTTCAATGCGGGTGACAAAAATCCGGACTAGTTCCAGGTTGTAATTTATGATATTTTAACTTTAAAAAGGCATATGTTACTACAAAATAAAAATAATTATGTTTTTTCTTAAAATAGGAATACAAACTCGTTCGAGTTTTATCTGAACTTAAATTTGAAAATTTTGCATTAATTCAAGGGTATATATCTCACAAAGTAAGCATTTTTTCTGCATTTTATTCATCTGACATTAATTTTAATTGAGTGATTTACTAAAATATCAAGGATAGTTATTAGTCGTTTGATTAAGTCTGCATTAATTGAATGCCACCCTTATTTGTTGATGCTGGTTTTCCTATTTATTACTTAAACTGTTTGAAGGGAACTTTAGCATTGTTTCCACTGATACGTATAATGAAAAGCTAATAGTAAACCAATAGATAGAATATGGTTTTTTAAACTTATAATTTATCTGCTCTTAAATTAAAAAATATAATAAATCATAAAATTTAAGAGCAGGCAAATAACTCAAAATCATGGATAGGAGGACAGGTCCCATACGGTTTACCATGGTTTACTGTTATCATATTCTAAGATACTTTAAATAAATTCTTATATGTAGTTTTCTGCAATATATTTATATGTAATCCGAGCATATTACTTGTGCATGGCGTATTAATATGTGAATAATGTATTAATGGTGCTTAAATATTTTAATAGGAAACTGCGTATCATAAAGAAGGATTAATTCTCATTCCAGTCAGGTTTAGATGGCTTGAAAAAATGGAGAAACATTTTAAACCAAAATCCAAATTCAGATACCTTGTTCAACAAGTTGAGGAACAATCAATGCTGTGTGACTTCACAGTGAACGTTGGATTATGGGTAAATTTTTTATAACAAGAAATGATTAATTGTTTGAAACTTTGCTATGAATTAGTTTATGTCAAATCATTCTGAAAGATATTCATTTTTACATGTTTACCAATTACTTTGATATATTGATATATCTATAGAAGGCACTCACTTTATCTTTATATAAGCAGGTAAAATTTGTTTTACCTTTTCAGACAAAACGATTTCACCGATGCGTGCTGGTCACTAGTCCTTATTTTGACAGAGCAATAAGAGCAAACTTTATGGAAAAGCAAAATGGTAAATAGGTTTAAGTATACTCAAAGAGTGTATAACATTCTTTTCACCTTCATTAATGTCTACAAACTTAATATGTCACTAATATATGAATTAATTTAAACTATAATATAATTCTATTTATTGATTAGAAATAAAAAGTGTTATCTGTTGATGATTGCATGACTTTAGGTGTAGATTTACTGAAAGTCAAGACGAAGGATATACAATCAAAATAATGTGCTTGTCAGTTAGGTATTTTTCTTTCTCTTTTTTAAGTAACAATCTGTAGTCCGTGTCTGTTTTGGCAAATTTATGCCTGTGTGCATCGTTCAAATTCTGTTTCATAAAAGTGTTTCTTTCAGTTTGCAAAGTTTTTTTGCGATTTTCGTTAACTGTTTTTAATATTTCCGATTTCATTTAACTGCGTTTGAAAGTGTGCATTTGTGTCCCCAAGAACGGAAATAACATTTAGCGGGCGTTTAACTAAGTTTAATAAAAAAATTATTATATATATTTTCCATAAATAATTACAGTTTTTTTTTATTTTGGAATAGAGGTAGTTAAATTACAGGATCTACCCTTTGGGGAGCACGGGAATATTGACGGGGGCTTGGTGGTCTCTCCGCATTTCCCACTTTGATCCTGACAATTTTGGCTCAAGAATGAAAGTCAAATTTCTAAATATAAAAGCATTTAATAGATTTAATTATTGAATTAAAGGAATTCATGTTAAACGACATATAAGTTAGTACGATACAGCACCGATCAGTCAGTGTAAGTATAGTCCTTGTCTTGAGAAGACGGATGGTGGTCCTGGAATGTGTGATCCTCCCTTCCGATATGGTTTTCTATTCTACAAAATATCCGTATCGAGATTGCCAGAATTACAATGTCTATCATTTGTTTACAATAGAATTTGTTTCTTTCGTGCTTTGTTTTATCTTTCGATATGACGGAAACGATGTTGACGTTATCATCGTCTATCGAAATAGAATATATTTATTGATATGTTTCAAGCCAGCTATATCATTAAGTGGATATCATTTATCGTCTTTATTTTTGCGTTTGCCTGTTTTATTGTTTGTTACAGTGTACAATGTTAAACATGATGATGAAGATGCGTAAGAAATGATAGCTTTTGTCTTGCACAAAATCTTTGCAAATTATAGACGATAATGGAGGAGTTTTATAACTATATCTTAAAATGAATTTTATTGCAGGTGTGGTGGAAGTGAGTGTTGGTACGTCCAATTCAGTTGAAATGGCCATCATGTATCTATATGGCGTGGTGCCAGATATAAACGTAGACAATGTAGAGCTTCTCCTTCAACAAGCAGAATACTTTATGATTGCAGGTCTTAAAACTTACTGCATTAATTGGCTGTGTTCCTCTGAAATTACAGAAGAAACACACATGTTCGTCTATCAACTATCCTCGGTATACAATTTTGAAGTTCCAAACTGTATGGCTTATATAGAAAGCCATTTGCCCGAAGTTTTGCAAAAACAGGAGGCATTGCAATTTTCAAAGGAATTAATCAAAAGATTTTTTACGGATGAAAGGCTTTCCTATGTAACAATGGACGAAAGGTTATCGTTTCTAATAAAATGGATCAGAGAAAACTCCGATGAGATAAAAACAAATATTATTGAACTATTTGAAACAATTGACATACAAGATGTAACAGATTCTGTGTTGAGGGAAGCATCTTCTGTTAAACTGGTAAACGAAATTTTACTGTCAAAAGATGTTGTAATAACGCCTCATGGAAGTGAATGCAAACGTGATGTACTGATTATGTCTGGCGAGAAAGGTTCTCTTTTGGGCCTTGATCTTCAAAGCGACACTTGGTGTAAATTGATTCCGGAAAACAGCTACGATATCCTTCATAGAAATATTTCTGGCATTAGGAACACAACACCTGAGGTATATTTTACCAAAAGTGACATTGTATATTTTAATGCCGAATGTCACTTGATGCCCATATTTACGACCTTGAATTTAGAAACTCACAACATACACCAGTACAAGTTTGCCCTGAAAGATGAGGACATATGTGACAAAACAATTACAAATGTATGCCTAGCAGATAACACTTTGCTTGTTCTCACCAGGAAAAATGTTCAAATTATAGAAACACTTGCTGATTATATACATATTGATGCAGAGTGTCCCGGACCTTCATCAAGTAACATTGGTATTGAATCATCACGAGCCAGAATAAAGATTATTTCTGATAATGAAGAACCATACTCAGCACTATTTCGTAGCGAGGATCAGAATTTGACTGTCAAAGATACGATTTATACCACGGTTTACATTGGAAACGTCAATATTGGAGATGTAGAAATTGTACCAATATTGTCTTTGAGGAACATTGAAATTTCACAAGCATGCTTAAATAGTACATGTTCTACAGTAGCATTGCTCTCAAAAGAGAACAATTCTGTTTTACTGTTTGATTTTGTAAATTACAAAATGGAAACATTTTGTTTAGAGCAGGATACAGGATATACATTGTCTTCGACAAATAATGGGTTTGTCATATATAACAACGATCGTTGCTATTGTTTGACGCGTACCTACTGGTCACTCACATCTCAAAGTTACCAGATAAAGCTACTTGAGCTTGAATCGAATGGCCAAATGATGGACTATCTTTTCTGTAACGGCTATTGGATCAGATTTTACAACAGTTGGTACTTATTTGATCAAGATATTAGCTATATTCGACATGAAGAACTTCTGGCGAGCACATTCCCCAAAGATTTAAGATGGACAAAGATATCGATACCAGAAGTAAAGGTCATGAAAAATATCTCATCGAGAAATGGACTGTTTGTTGTCCAATTAGCAAAGGAAAAGCTACGATGTCACATCCGATGTCCTCATTGTCAGCTTTCAAAAATACAAAACTGATATTCGGTTCTTGAAATAGTAGGAATAACTAGACAAGCTGAACAGGACTTCGACTGGATTTGAAAATTTTGTTACAGTGCATTAGAAAGTTTTATCATGAGTTAACGATAGATTAGAAATACATGTACTTACTAAAATGCCATAAGCTATTGGGTACCGTTCCTTGACATTTAATACGTCAGGAATTAGTCTGACAAAGCGGATATTCCGTTTCATTTATAGTTGAACAGGAAATTGTATATATATCTAAAAGTGTGCATTTCCATTTCTTCCTCTTTTATTCTTTAATTTTTTAAAGTCATACGACCTTTATAAGAAATATACATGCTTTGCATAAAATATTTATATTCAATGATAGTAATTAATTTACGTTGTTCATCGGAGAAACCGTAATAATCATATTCGTGTTGGTTTTGAAAAAAAAACAAATATTTTTTTGTTTGTTTTATAACGACAAATAAAGCGCTTTAACGCATTTCTTTAGATAATTCAGGAACGTTGTAAATACAGAAGAATGATATTTAAAAAAAACAATTAAATCATTCAATCAAAATAAAACTGTTGTCAGAAATATATGTAAAGGACATTTATATAGTAATTTTAAAGATATCTGTTATTATAAGAGACAGATGTACGATAGAAATATGCCAGTGTCGTTTAATTGGGCTCTTACAGATGTCATGTTTGGTAAAATTATTTTGTTTATAGGAAATACTAAATATTCAAACGTTATTGTAATATAACTTACTTGTTCTGTAAAATATACGTTTGATACACACCAATCAAGAACTACAATCCCCTATTATTTACATAAACCGTAAGTTAACATTTACATACGTTTACATAATCGAGTAATGAAACATTCTGCAAACATCTTTAACGACACTAATGCCATAAATAATTTTATGATAGTGTTAAGTATAATATATGCAAACACACTAAGAAAACATTATCATTATATAAACGTCGTTGAGAAATGTAAGAAGAAACATGATTCGATATTATATATCTATATATGCATGTAGCAGATAATAAATCGTTGTAGAACAATTATAGTATTATTCAATATATTAATATTCATATTCAGTGGATATAAATCTATCAACATTTTCTTTTCAAGAAAGAACAAAAGAATGAACTAACTATTTTTTTTATCAATATTTAAAATACTCATGGAAAATGTGACCATTTTGGGCGAATCCAATTTAAAAGTCAAACTATTCTTTTTTTAATAACAGCGGAGACTTTTGAACAGTTATCAAACACTATTCCTAAAATAGATCAACGCATACATAATCAATTTATCTCACAGTCACGTAAACTGTAAAGATCAATTATACTTTAAAGATACCGGTCACGTATACGAGAAATCGGTGTATTGAACAATCTTTTTTGTGGTAGATTGAATGCATACAGTCAATTCTTTTAACGGGAATGGCATGTTAAACGTTGCAAAATTCAATCAATCTATTTTTGGTCTTTATCCAATATTTTATACTGTATTACGCTAATTTTTATATTCTTTACCATAATATTTATTCTATCCTACTTAAAAGTTGTTCATCATAAAGGTATTTGTGTATTATAATTTTCTATATGTATGTTCTATATTAGAAAATATATATTGTATAATGAAAAATATTTATTGTATACTGAAATTTATTTATTCGATAATTTGAATCATGGGATAGAATCACAATTTTCTAACACTTGGCAAATTAATCCCCGCCTACAGATTAAGCACAAATTTATGATAAAGCATTATCATCCTGAATTAACTAGACAATAGTATAGTGGACTTGATCAGTGTCCCTCTGAATGTCACTTGTAAATATTGCATATGCTCAATCCTCTGTATAAATATATATGTATGTCTAAAAATGGAAATATAATTTAAAGTCTTTAGGACGTACAATCTTATAATAATGGTGTTTCACATGCCTAATAATTTAACAACGATATGAACCTATGTGAGGTTTTCATGTTTGATGACTAAAGGATCATCTTAATGTCCATATACTTTTATATGAAAGATATATGAGAAAATTATATCAAGATTTTTTTTTATAAAAGATGTATGAGGGGATAATGTAAGATGAGCAAGGGATCATCTAGATGTACATATACATAATTTGTTATGAAACATGTATGAGGGGTCACCTCAGATGACCAGGAGGTCTTTGAGATGTAAAAACACTCTTTTTAGACTAGTTCTTTTTTAACATATATGAGGTGATTAGGTGTGATGAGGAGATAAGGTAGTGGAATTTGGTTAATCACTTTGAAAAATATATTCTACTAGATTTACTATGTTGCTTAAGAACTAAAGTTACGAACAGCTTTGTCAAACTATATCATCTTGCACGAACCATTCATACATATTCTGGAAAAACAGAAAATGATCCTCTGCTCATCTAACGTCACTTAATAAGTTCAATATGAAACAAAGTATATGAACAACATTGGGGTCTTCCATGAACCCCTCATACATAATTCTAAAATGAAAAGAACATGTACATCTAGGTAACAACCTGGTCATCTTACTGATTCCCTTATACATGCTATCTAATTTTTGAGTATTTGTACATTTAAATGATCCGCTAGAAATCTCATACATGTTTGAACAGAACTAAAGTATATGTACATTTAAGGATCCCTGATCAGCTTATGTGATTCCCCCATAATTTCTTTTTATAAGACTAGAGTATTGAAACATTTTTATAACCATTTGGTCATTTTAAGTGATTCCCTCATACATATTCCATAATAATTAGAGTTTATGTATATCTAGAAGGATCCCCGGTCATCTTACTAGCTGCATCTTACGTGATCTCTTCATATCTGTTCAAAGAAAGAAAAAACAGTACATGTACATCTAGATCATCTCCTGGCCATCTTACATGATGGCCTTATGCATGTTCCATAATAAATAGAATATATTTATATCTAGAGGAGCCCTAGTCCTCTTACGTGATCCCCACATAATAAATAGGTTATATATACATATAGATTCCTTGATTATTTAAACTGATCCCGAAATATCCTTTTCCATTAAAAAGTCTATGTACATCTAATGGCCCTCTGATAGTCTTGTGTAATCCACTCATACATATGAATAGAGTAAATGTACATCGACATGATCACCAGTCATCGACATCGACATGATTGTGTTACGAGATCCTCTTACAAACTTCAGAGAAAATGAACATCTATATCATCACCTGGTCGTCTTACGTAATCCCCTCATACAATTTCCATAACAAATAGGGCATATGTTTCATCTAGATAGCCTGTCATTTAACCTTGATCCCACACATCAGTTCCGTGATAAAAAAAGAGTTTATATGTATATCTTAATGGTCATCTTACGTAATCAAACAATACATGTTCAATAATAAACATAGAATTTGTCATCAACACGATCCCCTTGTCTTACGTGATCTCCTGATATATTTTCGATAATAAACAAAGTATATGTACATCTAAACTAAATGATACCCTGGTCATCTTACACGGTTCCCTCATACATGTTCCATAATGAATAGAGTATATCTTCATCTAAATGATCCCCTGGTCGCTTAACGAGTATATGTACATAAAGATAATTTCCTGGTCATCTCACATGATAACCTCATACATGGTTCATAATGAATAGAGTATATGTACCTATGTTTTATACCCTGGTCGCCTAACGTGATCCCTTCATACATACTTCATACAAATATGGTAATTGTTCATGATCCTATGGTCGCTTTACGAGCATATGTACATGTAGATAATCTTCGGTCATCTCAAATGATATCCTCGTACATGGTCCATAATGACTATATGTACATATATGTGATACCCTCATGTATGTTCCATAAGAACTAATGTATGTATTTAAATAAAATCTTGGAAATTATTTAGGATCACATATTATGTTCTTTAATATCTACAGTACAAGTACATTTAGATAGATAAGATGACCTGATAGTCAGCTTTGATGATCCCTTCATATATATATATCAGAACAAAAGCAAAGGAAGTTTTTATGATCTCTTTGTCATTTTAAGTGATCTTCTAACATTTTCCTTTGAGAACCAGAAAATTTCTACGTACAGACGATAATATAAGCATTGTGTGATCCCCTCATTCGTGTTTCAGATAACTAGAAACTATTAACATCTTAAATACCCCTGGTCATCTTACGAGATCACCTTATATAATTTACAAATAGATATAGTATGTGTACATCAAAATCATCTAAATGTTTATCTAGATGATCCCCTGCTCATTTGCCGTGACCCCCTCATAATTTTACCATAATAAAATATTAACTTACATCTAGATGATGATCCCCTAGTCATCATACCTAATCCCCTTATATATGTTTTATAAGAATAAGTAAGTTTATACATCTAAAAGACGTCCTTGTCATCTAGGTTGACCCCTCATTTCTGTTCCATAACAACTAACGGATGAGCAGGGTACATTATCCTCTCAAACATCTTCTATAAATCCTATAGAGTATGTCCATGTATATGATCTTTTAGATCTCTAATATGATTCCTCATATATCTTTCATATAAACAAGAGAATATGTACATTTAGATGAGCCTTTGCTCATTTTACATGATATCCTCACAAAGGTTAGTATCGTGGTTATATTATTAGGCATATGACTAAAAAACGTAATTATACGAGTGTATGTCCTGAAAACTTTAAAATCTGTTTCCAATTTTTAGACATACATATAATGCGTTCCTGAATAATAAAGGAAATTCAAGATGTCCTTTTTTCCGGGGGGTCGACCTATAGGCACTTTTTCAGCAACAAATTTACATGCAGGGAGAGAGATAGAGAGAGTGTTGGCTGACATAGGGGAAAAACTCCCCTATCTTTTAAACCTCAGACGAAACGCATTGTACCTGTCCGTTCTGTGGATAATATTCTACTATCGTTTTATATGAGTTTATTTTTTAAGGATAATGTTGGAAACCGTTGTTCAGTGTTATTTGATGATAAGTCATAAAAAAATATTTCTCTTACTTTAAAACGGGTCAATATAACAGCCATTAATTCACATTACAAATGCCTTTTAAT